AACAATGATAGACTCTCCGGCTTCTGTGGGCTATCCAGAGTGCTCAGCTGACTGTGCTGAGCTCAGTCACGCTGCTGCGTTTGGTGGGTCAGCCAGGGCCAGGCTACTTGGGACAGCAGGGCCTGTCTCTGCACAGCCCTCTGACCACTCAGGGGTCTAGCCCGGGCACCTGGCATTGCAGCCATTTGGGCCCCAAGAAGGAGAGAGAGGAGCACCAAGGCCTTGAGGCTGGAGCTTCAGGACACACAACATTGCTCACCTCCTGCCCACCCACTGGGCAAGTAAGCCAGAAGCTGGCCAAGTTCAAGGGCGGGGAAATACACTTCACATTTGGGTGGAACCGCATTCCACAGAGATCTATGTCCTAGGATGGGAGGAATTGGTTCTGTTAAGAAGCTGCTTCACTGGCCTTCCCAGGAGTGTTCAAAACCAGTGACAAATGACCACAAGCCTTCTGGGCTGGGTATGAGAAGGGATTTCCCTGTACCCTGCACCTCCCACCGAGGGATGCATGCCAAATTGCTCCCTTCCCTCAGCCTCAGTGTCTCTGTGTGTATGGTGGGGGCACTGGGCATGGTGGATCTCTGGGCCTGTGTTGGGGAAACTCCCTCCTCTGCCCCCAGATGTCTGCAGAGACAATGAATTGTGTTCAAGTTCATTCAGGCAAGTGGAAGGCTGAGTGTAGAAGAAAATGCCATCTTGAGGGCCTTGTCCCAGAGCCCACCGTTCCATATTGCACCGCTTCTGGTGACAAGTGCTCCCCCTGGCCAACCCCAGAGCCCCTCCTCGGGGCGATGACAGCTGTCACTCAAGGGGAGTGCACTAGACTCAAGCAGCCAAGCAGCCCCTTCCCTGGGACTGACAGAGGGAGGAGGCAGAGGGTCTCATCTGCCTGGAATTCCCAGCTGGGGTTGTAGGGGGCCTTCTCCCAGGGAGGAGAAATGAGACCCAGGCAGTTCAGAGAGCAGCGAGAAACAGAAGTGAGTTTTAGCCACACAGCCCTCGGAGGACCAGGTAGGCCCAGCTGTTCCTCAGTCACTCTGAGACCCTGACGTCTCCTGAGGCAGCCTAGCCGGTCGGTGTCGCTTGTGTTTAAGCTAGTTAGGGCTGGGTTTCTCTCCTGGAGCTAAAAGAGGCCTGAGAAACACAAACATTGTCTCCTGAGCAGCCACTAGCACGATGAAACAATCGCCAGTTGAAAGCGGCCTTTCAGAAGTGACGCCCTCACAGACGTGATGGGAGGTGTTTTGCTATGTGCACCCAGGAAAGAAACCTCTCCACCGGCCCTGGCCCCCAGGCTGCTCCCTCTGCACTGTAGAATAACAATATCTCCAGTGAGGTCCCGAGGAGGAGGAGGAGGAGGAGGAGGAGGAGGAGGTGGTGAAGGACGTGCCCACAGCCGCAGGTGTGGAGCGGGGCTCACTCTGGAGCTGTAGGGTCTTACCTACCCCTCCACACACAGGCGCAGGTCCTGAGAGCACACTGGCAGCTTTCCTTCATGCTGTCGCCCAGCACCTCAGGAGGCAGCAGGTTTGTGCAAAAGATGATGTCAAAGCTTTCAGCAGTCGAGCCACTGAACCCAAGGGCCAGGCTGCTTGCTGTGCTGACATTTGGTCCTGTGACCCCCAGGTCTGGAGGATCTGGCCTTCAGACCAGGCCACCCCCGGGGCAGGAGACAGCCAGGCAGGCCCCCACTAATCTGGCCTCTCAGACAGGCCTTTCTCAAAGCATTTGGGCTGGAAACTACTCCCCTTAGTCTCTCTGTGTCCACCTTGGGACGCGATGTTGAGATTTCTGCCAGTGTGATCTAGGACCAAAAATGGGGATCTCAAAAATGGTCCTGGGAAGCCAGCACCATCCCAGTGGCTGGGGTCAGGAAAAGGAGAGCGTCTGTGAGCTTCCTTCCTTCACATTCACAGCTTGTAGTCAGGAGACTAAGATTTGGGTTGTAGAGGTAAAAAAGCCCTTGGAGGTTTCCTAGTTCAACTTTTCACCTAGTGGTGATTGAGGCTTGGAGAAAGCAAATTATACCTGCTTTTTCAGAGCCAGCCAGTGGTAGTGCTCACGCTGCAGGCCAGCCCTCCTCATCCCCATCCAGGGCCCTGGAAATAGCCCACGCGCCCCCACCCTCCCCACCAAGGCTTTGGCCCCCGGGGAAGGAAGCTGAGGTGAGCGGAGGGGTCAGCAGGAGCCAGCATGGTGAGCGGAACTGCAGCTGCCCTCACCCCTGCATCCTTTCAGCCTCGGTGCCTTCCTGGGCAGGGCACGGGGAAGCTGGTGCTGGAAAGATGTGTGCCCCTGGCCAATGGCCATCCTGTGACTCTGGCTAGCAGGAAACTCTCAGCACTACTCACAATCAGATAATTAGAATCACTGACTGAGGAGAGGGAAATATAGTCACCCCCATGGCAGCAGCCGCTGGAGTGTGCCTGCCCTGCCCTGAGCCTGCAGCCCAGGTGGCCAACGCAGGCCTGCCTTACAGTGGCCCTGCAGGAAGGCTGGGCACGAGGCAGGAGAATGAAAAGGGAAGGGGAAAGGTCAGTGAATTCTAAAGATGAAACTCAAGCCTTCCCGCAAGTGCCTCAGGGAATCCACTGCTAAAGTATACCCTGTTACACAGCAAGCAGCAAGGGGGACAAGGTGGGCCAACCCTTGCTCCAGGTCCCCTTCGACTTTCAGTCCAAGCTAGAAATCCTCCCTGATACCGCCTTCCCCAGCAAGGGGTTTCCAGTGCTAGCTGAGCCCAGATCTTCATCCACAGGACAGAGCTGGGTGGCTTGAGGAGGAGGGGTCAGGCTTGGGCTTCAGGAGAGTTGGGACTGTCTCCTGGCCTCCCTCAAGTCTGATGAGACAATGGGAAGTTAACACCTCCTCCCCCAACCTGTTCACTGCAGGCCATAGCTATACTGCACTCTGAGCTGAGAGACCTGAAAGGACCCCCTGTTGAGCCTTAGCCTTCATGTCTGTGAAATGGGGACACTAATCTTGATTGTGGAAAATGTAAAAGATTTTGTGGGATTGTATTATTTTGATCTTACAGGAAAGAAAACTTAAGTCTTGGAGAGTTTAAACACCTTGCTCAAGATCACCCACAGCTACAAATAAAATTGGGCAAAATCTGTGGTGGAACCCAAAATCTCTATTGTGGTTCCAGATTGCTTTGGTACTACTCCAGCTGGGAGCCAGAAGATTTCTTATGCAAACATTTGCAGGCTACTGAACCAAGGCCACCTAGAGTGGCTCTGGCCTGGTGACGGTGGAGCAGGGGAAACAGGGTCACTTCTGAGTCCTTGTCCCCTGCCTCTTAGTTGGAGCAGCCTTGCCCTCTCCTCACTTCCTAAAGGTCCCACCCAGAGCCCCATGGCCTTCCCATCGCTTCTCCCATCCGATCCCAGCGTTCTGGGCTGGGAGACTGGATGTCCCAGGGTGTGCTCACAAGGACAGTGCGGTGACTGTGTGCAGGGTTATATGCACAGTTGGAGCTGCGGGCTTGGGAACGGTGTGTGTTCTCACCACGTATGCAAACTGGTTTGTGTATGAGCTGATTGGAGGCGAGCTGTGTGTTCAGCCTCAGCCTAAGGAATGTGTATGGCCGTTTCACAGCTGTGTGCTGCTGAGTGTGTGTGGGTATATGATGTGTCCAAGGATCTCCTGAGTACTGTGTTTGCAACCATTGGTGATATGTCCCAGCTCTATGTGTAAGAGGGACTGGCTGTCCGTGTGTGGTGGTTCTTGTGGGGCTGAGAGGCTGATGTAAGCGTTGTGTGTTGTATGTGAAGGTGGGGGGGTTAGGGGGGCAGCCTGTGAGTGCCCCTTCATTTGCACCTGCACAGAATGGGGAAAAACATCAGGCACTTTTTGGGACATCGAACAAGCCCTTTCTCATAAAGTTTCCATTTCCCTTTCTGTTAATGAGCTAGATTTTGCTCAAGAGCATTCTGACCTTGGGGTTCCTAAGACGGGAAGACAGAAGCTTATGAAACCATAGCCCCTGGCAGACTGTGAAAAAGAGGGGGACCCGACTTGGGATTTGCGGCAGGTCTGGCTGGGGGAAGGGGCGGCCCAGCCCTAGGCTGGGCTCCACCTCTTTGGTTCCCTTTACCTTTTGAAGACTCCCCAACATTTGCCAAGGAATCACCAGCCAAGCTTGGTGCCCAAGGTTTACAGCGCTGCCCTTCTCTGCTGAGAGGATGGGATCGTGGACCAAACTCAGGAACTGGAACCAGCAGCCAAGAGAGACGGTACCACGAAGGGCCAGGACTGGACAGGGGCACAAGTCTCACGACCCCTGGCACCTGTGAGAAGCAAGCTGAGAGACAAACACCTAGAGATGCGGGGGCCCCAGACTGAGATCCAAGTTCGACGTCCCTCTGTCGGGTTGAGATTCCTTGTCCAGTTGCTGCGAGGATTCGAGATGGGCCTTAAGTGGGCCCTGAGCGCGTCTGGCGCTCAGCAGGTATGCAGCAGGCACGCTCGGTAAACACCAGCTGTGGCGAGCAAGTCTGCCTCTGTACCTCAACAGGGTGTGAAGTCGTCTGGAGCGGCTGACGGGCGCCGTGGGTCCGAGGCGCCCGCAAGGACCTTCCCCCGCCCCTCGCGCGCGCCCGGTGGGGTTTCGGCACGCTGACGTGGGCGGATCAAAGCGGCCGCCCGCGCCTTATAAAGCAGATGGGGCGGCCTGCTCCGCAGAGCGCGCCGGCACGGGGGAGAGCCGCGGCGAGCAGGCAAGAGCAGGCCCGGGGTGAGCGGGGCACAGCCGAGAGAGCAGCCCGAGTCCGCGCCACCATCCGCGCGGCACCCGAACCTGCTGCTGTGCGCCAGACTCCCGGCGTCCTCCTGACGCTTGGACCAGAGGGCGCCCTCGCCGTTAGCGCAAGTGCGCTCGGCGCGCTGGGGACCGCGCTCTCCGCTCCTGGGACTGACCCGGACGGCGGGGCACGCAGGGCGCGACCGGAGAGCACCCCGAGAGGTGAGCAGTGGTCGAGACCAGACTCCAGCAGGGGTCCACCGGGCACGGGGCGCCGAGGCCGAGGGTGAAGGCGCTTCTCGCGCACCCGCCGCGAGCCCCTGGGGCACAGGGGAAGCAAGCTAAGTCCTGCTCCAAGCTTCTCCACCGCCGCACTCCCAGGAATTCCGCTTTGCGAGCGAAACCTCGTGGGCCTGGGGACGCGGACTGGAGGGGACGGAGAGTGGGGTGGGTTGCGCGGTGCCTGCGGCCCTGTCCGAGCTTTTCAGGCCTTGTCCCCTACCGCGGGCCTCGACCCCGCTCCCTCCCAGCCAGCCTGCAGATGAGGTCATGCCCGAGCCGTCCGGGGGTGGGGGGCTGGATCCCGCGGCGGAGGGTGTGTGTGGCGAGGCTGGCAAAGGCAGAGAACTCCGGCGGCTTCTACCCAATCGGGAGGTGGGGAGCGGACGCCTTGTTTTGTGAACCGCTCCCAAAGGCAACGAGGGTGGGGAGAACCGAGTTTGTTTATAGACCTGAGCTCCAGGCTGGGATTTGGGGAGGAAGAGTCCTGTACTCCGCCCCACTGCACATCTGGAGCCTCCTGGAACATCTGGCTGAGCTCGCGCCGGAGCCCCGCACTTCCACCACCGCCACCGCCCCGCTTCGAGGTGCCCCCATGTCGTGCACCGCCCTTGGGCGTTCAGAGTCGAGCCCCAGTGGGGTAGTAAAAGGATTCCCTAGTTCCCCGCCCTTCCTACCCACTTCCAAAACACCCGGTATCCGTGGCGACCCGCAGCGGCGTCCACAGACAGGCAGATTACTCGAGGCTGTGGTCACAACCAGGTTGCTGGCCAGGCCTCGCTCCGCCTCGCAGATAACCTTGAAGCCGTGCTCCCGGGTGCTCAGCGTCCCGGGATCGCCGGGTCTGCTTTGAGGGCTGCGCTGCCTGAGGCCGCTGCACCTTATTCGAGGCGTGGACTCTGCCGCTGCGCGCGGCGCCCGTCCCGCCCGGCACTGACGCGGCTGGGTAACTAAAGCTTTGCGTATCTTCCCCAGCTGCGCCCGGAGAGGCCGCCCGAGCGGGGGCTTGTAGAAACCGTACCCCAAGTCTTAGGACCACCTGTTGACAGCGCGGCGCTGGGGCTGCTGCGCTTGCGGGGTCCTGTATGTGCACAGCCCGGGGCAGCCCCTGCTGAAGGCGGGGTGACTTGGATCTGTTCCCCGGTGGGGTCAGAAGGGACCTCTGTCCTTTACACGCTGCGCTGTGACGCGAGCCCACTACGCGCCTGACCCCAGGAGACTCCGCGCAGAGCCTGAAGTAAGGGGCCGGTCAGTCAGGCCTGATCAAGGCAAGTGGATATCCTATAGAGTGACCAGGACTGAGAGGACACTCACTCCACGCCTCATCCCATGCCCAGACCCGGACCCCCGGTGCAGGAAGAGAAGTCTTGCCTGAAGTCCCACGGTGCTGGAGGCTGCGGCGATCCCACCTTGAACCGGGTTTAGCGCCCCCTGGCGGGCCGGGGGCTCCGGGAGGCGAGAGCGCGCTGACTCGCAGGACGCAGCTGAGGGTGACCCAGCGGCCCGCATGGCTCTCCTGGACGTTCTTACATGGGACAAGAATAATCTGTCAAGGCTAGAGGCCCAGACCAAGAGCCGCCTGCCCCAGCGGTGATCTGGGGCAGCGGAGGGAGAAGCCGGGCACCGCTGGAGCTGCTCGGACGGCTCAGGGAGTGGCTGGAGGCCTGGGTCTTCGTCCTCTGTGCGACCCGGGCAGCCCCTCCTCTCCCTGCAGAGCGGTGCTGGACACTGTTCCCCGCTGTAAGTCTGCGCGCCTTCTTCTGCGTGCAGCCCCTACCTCCTCCCCACCCAGGAATACTTGGCGCCTTGCGGGGTGCCTGCGCTGGGGGTGGGGGGAGTGACTGAAGTTTCGACCCCCGCAACCAGCCAACAGATGTGTGTCTCGTTCTGAGGGCTGCGGTAAACTCCCAGGACTAGTGAGACAAAGGCTTTGGAGACAGCCTAGGTGGGAGGAGAGGGCTGTCCTACACCGCGAAGCCCGCTGAGATCCTAACCCGCAAGCAAGTTTGTACTGTCTCTGTGTCGTGCGCTTCCCTGGAGGACACTGTGGAGGAGCAAAAATGTAATTCGGGGTTTTCCCCTTGCCTTCCTCTGAGTTATGCTAGAAGCCGCCCCCCCAAATACTGGAAGTGTGTGTGTGTGTGTGTGTATGTGTGTGTGCGCGCGCGCGCATACTTCAGGCACACACGCACACATTACACAGGTATACGTACTAGTGGAAACAGGCGAAGGGGAGCTCGAAGACTCAGGACTGAGAGGCTGGAAAGGCATCAGGAAACGCGTGAAGTCCAGTCGGTTGCTTTTATAGGAGGGGATACTGAGGCTGGGGTGGCTGAAGGCTTGCCGAAACGCAGAGAGTCAGCTGAGGACCCCCTCTTCCTGCTCCTGC